AAATTACATAATTCTATGAGAACATGAAATAAAAGAGCCTCATAGTGACAACAGCAAAGTTCATCAGGGCAGTAAACAACAAATGCTTGTGAGTTTGTGGAGAGATTGGTATGCTTATTCACTACTGTTGGTGGTGCAAAATGGTACAACCACTATGGAAGGCAGTCTGGCACTTTCTCAAAATGTTGGAAATAGAAATACCATATTATATCAGCAATGCTACTACTGGGAATATCCCTTAAAGAAACCAGAACCACCACTCAAACAGATGTATGCACACCCATGTTTATTTCTGCATTATTCACAATAGCAAGGAGATGGAAGCAACCTAAGTGCCCACCAACAAATGAATGGATAGAAAAAGTATGGTACATTCATACAATGGAATATTATGCAGCAATGAAAAACAATGAAATAGTAAAACATTATACAATGTGGGGGAGCCTCAAGGGCATTATGCTGAGGGAAATATCTCGGTCACAAAAGGACAAATACTTCATAATACTGCTGTTATAAAATAGGACAGACATGGCGGGATTGAGGAAGGAATGGAGAAAAAGTGTATAGATAATGAAGATTGAATTAGAACAGATGAGGGGAAGAACTGTCTGAAAGGAATATATGATTAGACATTACATGTATGAGAATAATCTAGAACAAGGGCTGCATTATAGTGTGGGCTGTGAGAGGAAAGGGGGGAGGAAGTATGCAACAATGAATAAAAAAGACGTAAAAGAGCCTGTCCTAACCTGGATGATAGTGTTAGTAAACATAGTGAAAAATCTTAGGAACCCAAATTAAATGTTGCTGTGGCTAGTTAATAGTGATTGCTTGGTTTCAGATCTGAACAAATGAACCTCTCTCGGTATCCATTTCCTCTCCTGCAGGGAAATAATAATGATTTCTGTGTTCATAGAGTTTTTGTAATGAATGAATGAGCTAAAACTTGGAAAATATTTTTGAACAATTAATATTTTTGTTCAACTACCATCAAATTGGATTCATTGGGTTTCAGAGGCTGTAAATCACATTGGACAGAGAAGGTCCATCTTTCTCCCTCTGAGTTGCTTGTGGATTTGAACCACCAGAGACCTGCAGCTTTGGATTTTCAGTGCAACTCCCACTGGACTCTGCCACCAGAGCTCCTTCAGTAAATCTTAAGTATTAATTATATTGCCATAATTTGTGTTGATTTGGTTATGGGAGGTGAGAGTAGTGATAATTTTAAGTCTTGCTTTCATAATTAAAAGCAGAGTGGTACCATTCACTGAGAGAAAGAATTCTGGAAGAAAGTTTGGCTTGAGACATGTGGGTTAACTGTTCAAGTAAAGATATTTAGGAAGGTGGGTTAGCTATATGAGTCTGGAACTGAGGAAAAGGCCTGAAATAGAATGACTATCATAAATCATCAACAGTGGGCAGAAGACAGCCCATTTTCTTGGAAAGTTTGCAAGTATATCAACATTAAAATTTGGAGATTATTTTGCCCATTTTACACTAGCATGTGTTTTCTGTGCCTAATTTCTTCCTTTCTAATGATGTCTTATTCCAAATTTACAGGTCTAATTGGATGTCACAAGAAGTCAGTCTATTGGCATGTGATTGGAATGGGTACCACCCCTGAAGTGCACTCAATCTTCCTTGAAGGTCATACGTTTCTTGTAAGGAACCATCGTCAAGTGTCCTTGGAAATCTCACCAATAACTTTCCTTACTGCGCAGACACTCTTGATGGACCTCGGCCACTTTCTTCTGTTTTGTCATATCCCTTCCCACCAACATGGTAATATATGTGGATCTTTAAAATGGATATTGTAAAATCCTGCTCTATTTGTAAGGGAGTTTGCTGGTGTCCAGATGTTGCATAGGATGGCATTATAGCGTTATTATTATTTCAGACCTCAAATGAAATCCCCTAGTCTCTAGAGGAAAATTGTGTTTTGAGTATTAAAGGGATGAGCATTGAAATAGGTGATATCGTAGGAAGCAGACAACCTGTCCAAAGACCGCGGAAAAGATCAAATATGCAGAGATAAGATCCTTTGACTTTATAGATTGCTTTTTGTCCTATTTTATATCTTGTTCTTAGTCCAAGGCCTTCAAGTTAGAGGGCTTATAACCAACCCTGTATTGCTGAAAGTCTGAATTAGAGTTTTGGAATTCTTTTTGTAACTGCTCTGTTTGTCCAGTTAGCAGTAGGGGTAAAGGATGGCCTGAAGTTTTCATACAACTGCTTCCCTTCAGCATTGATATAATTTTTCAAGTAGTTCTCCCTCCAGATAATAATACTTGCTGTTGTTAGGTGCCATAGGGCTATGGATTCCTGTGTGGAGGATCAAATACCAAGAATGTAAAACCCAAACAAGTGATTCTGTATCAAGTAAAGAAGTCTCTCAAAAAAGAGTAGAGCAGACTAGCTAGAGGGGTACTAAATGGTTTAAATTGCACTGTCATTCATTCTAAAATAGTTAGACTCAACAATGTTGATACAGTCGCTGGTTTACCGCTTGCTATCAAGAATGCATGGAGCTCTGAGGGCTTAGTGGTAAGGAGTTTCACTGGTGACCAAAAGGCACATGTTTCTGATCCATCAGCTCAGTGAGAAAAGATAGGCAGTCTCCTCTCGGGCTCTTTACAGCCTCTAAAAACTCACTGGAGTGTCAGCAAGGAGTTGCCTCCAACTCAAAGGCATATAGCAACAACATTTTCATCTAAGACTTGAGTATTTCAGGGATCATGAGGTTGGTTCAGGATGAGGCAGGGCTCAGATCTGTATCAATGACACCTAACAACATTTTATTGGAGATTTTGCAAAGTGTTGAAAATCCTTTGCAAACACATTTGGATAGTGGTCACTTTGTTGTTGTTGTTAGATGCTGTTGAGTATGACTCATAGCAACCCTATGAACAACAGATCTGAACCTTATCCTGTGTCATCTCATGATATCTGACCCACTTGAACCCACTGCTGCAGTCACTGTGTCAATCCATCTTGTTCAGGGTCTTCCTCTCTTTGCTGACCCTCCACCTTTCTAAGCATGACATCTTTCTACAAGGAATAGCCTCACCTAGCAACATGTCCAAAGTATGTGAGACAAAGCTTCACCACCTTTGCCTCCAAGGAGCACTCTGGCTATACCTTCTCCAAGACATATCTTTTGGTTCTTTTGGAAGTCTATGGGATGCTCAATACTATTCTCCAACACCACAACTCAAAGACATCAGTTCATCTTCTGGCATCCTCATTCACTGTCTATTTCTCAGATGCATAGCAAATGATAGAAAAGACTGTGGTCTGATTCAGGCGCACCTTAGTCCTCAAACTGACATTGTGCCTCAGTCATTTGGAAAGGTCCCCAACAACAGACTTTCCCAATGCAATACACCTCCTGATTTCCTGACTGCTGGTACCAAGAGTGTTGATTGTGGATGCAAGTAAGGTAAAATCATTGATAACTTCAATCTTTTCTCCATCTATCATAATGTTGCTTATTGACCCTTTCTCCCCCCCTATATAATGCAGGGAGGTATTTGTTTGGGGGTGGGTCATAATTATTTGTCTTACCTCCCCATGCCCAACCCAAATTCATCCTTTAATGCACCCCTTATTCCAGATTGTTGTCAAACATAGGACTGCAGCCTTCAATATGTATTGAAGCTCAACATCACTAAGCCAATTGTCAGCAGCTTGATAGATGGAGAAGAGATTGAGATTGTTAAGAGCTCCAGATTACTTGGCTCCACAATCAACACTCTTAGTAGTGTTGTTGTTGTTGTTGTTATGTGCCATTGAGTTGCTTGCGACTCATAGCGACCCTATGTACAACAGCCCTAAACCCTGCTCTATCCTGTGCCAATCGCACTGTATCTGATACACCCATCCCAATTAACCCAGTCACTGAATCAGTCCACCTCATAGGGGGCCTTCCCCTCTTGCGCTGTCCCTCCACCCTCCCAAGCATGATGTCCCTCTCTAAGGACCGGTTTCTCCTCACAACATGTCCAAAGTCTGTTAGACGGAGCCTCAGAATCCTTGCCTCTAAGGAGCCACCCGGTTTAACCCTTTCCGGGACAAATCTGTTTTCCTAGCAGTCCATGGTATTCTCAATACTCTTCTCCAGCACCACAGCTCAAAGGCATCAATTCTCCTTCTATCCTCCTTTGTCATGGTTGCTACTATTGCTTATGGTTTAGACAAGAAGGTTGGAGCTGAAAGGAATGTGCTGATCTTTGACTTAGGAGGTGGCACTTTTCATGTGTCAATCCTCACTATTAAAAATGGGATATTTGAGGTCAAGTCTACACCTGGAGACACCCACTTAGGTGGAGAAGACTTTGACAGTAGAATGGTCAACCATTTCATTGCAGAGTTCAAGTGCAAACGTAAGAAAGACCTCAGTGAAAACAAGAGTGCTGTGAGGTGCCGCCGCACGCTGTGAGCGTGCAAAGTGCACGCTTTTCTGCAGCACCCAGGCCAGTACTGAGATGGACTCTCTGTATGAGGGAGTCGATGTCTGCAGGTCCATTACCCGAGCCCGCCTTGAAGAACTGAGTGCCAATCTCTACCGTGGTGCTCTGGACCCTGTGGGGCAAGCCCTGAGGGATGCCAAGCTGGGCACGTCACAGATCCATGATGGTGGGTAGTTCTACTAGGATTCCCAAGATTCAGAAACTTCTTCAGGAATTCTTCAGTGGAAAGGACTTGAACAAGAGCATCGACCCAGATGAGGCTGTTGCTAATGAGGCAGCTGTCCAGGTGGCCATTCTCTCTGGAGACAACTTTGAAAATGTTCAGGATTTGCGGCTTACAGCTGCTGGATGTCACTTCACTGTCCCTTGATGTTGAAACTGCTGGTAGAGCCATGACTGTCCTCATGAAGCGGAATACTACCTTCCTTCCAGCAAACGTAGACCTTCACAACCTGCTCGGACAGTCAGCCGGGTGTACTCATTCAGGTCTGTGAGGGTGAGTGTGCCTGACCAAAAACAACAACCCGCTTGGTAAGTTTGAACGCAGCGGCATCCCACCCGCACCTCATGGCATTCCTCAGATTGAACTGATGCCAGTGGTACCTGTAATGTTTCTGTAGACAAGAGTACTGGGAAAGAAAACAAGATGACCATTACCAGTGAGAAGGGCCACATGAGTATAGAAGATATGGAACGGATAGTCCACGAGACTGAGAAGATGAGAAGCAGAGAGATAAGGTGTCTTCTAGTCTTATGAAAGCAACAATTGGAAATTAAAAGCTTCAAGGCAAGATCAATGACGAGGACAATCTTTAACAAGTGCAATGAAATTACCAGCTGGCTTGTTAAGAACAAGACTGCAGAAAAGGAGGGATCCGAGCAACAGCAGAAGGAGCTGGAGGTCTGTAGTGGCGCCTGGAGGCTGCCCCCTGGAGGCAGGGCCTGGAGGCTCCTCCGTCTGGTGGTGCCTCTGCTGGACTCACCGCTGAAGAGGCTGACTAAGTCAGTCTGGATACTTCAGCCCTCATTGTTCCTCAGTTACAGTTTGAAGGACCCAAATTTGTAGATCACTGAAGTTTCAAGGTTTAATCTGCTTGACTCAATTTCTGGACATTCTCAATACTTGAATATGGAATGTGCACAGGGAAAGGAAGTAACTTTGCACTTTGTTACCACTGTATTTTAAGTTGGAAATGCAATGTCTCAAATGTTGTTATGGGCCATCGAGTTGCCTACAACTCATAGCAACCCTAGGTACAACAGCTCTGAACCCTGCCCTATCCCGAGCCAGTCTTGCTGACGCTACCACATCTGATTTCATCGCCCCAGTTATTGTGTTAATCCATCTTCTTATCTGGGAACTTCCTCTCCTGCGCTATCCTTTCACCCTTCTAAGCATAATGTCCTTCTCCAAGGACTGGTCTCTCTTGGCCACGTGCCCATAGTATATGAGATGGAGCTTCAAAATCCTAGCCTCCAAGGACAAATTTGGTTTTACCCTCTCCAGAACAGACTTATTTGTCCTCCTGCTTGCCCACAATATATTCAGTACTCTTTTCCAGCACCACAACTCGAAGGCATCAATTCTTCTGTCATCCTTAGTCATTATCCAGCTCTCTGACACATAGCATGTAATTGTGAAGACAATGGCCTGGATCAGGTACATCTTTGTCACTTGATGGACATCATTGCCACTCATTACTCTGGAAAGGTCCCCGACAGCAGATTTACCTAATGCAATTAATCTTTTGATTTCCTGACTTCTGGTGCAAAGAGTGTTGATTATGGAGTCGAGCAAGCTGTGATTGTTAACAACCTCTTTCTCTTCTCCATCTATCATGGTGCTGCCAATTGTCCCAGTGGTGAGAATCTTTATCTTCTTGATGTTAAGCCTCAATCCATATTGACCTTCTGTAGCAAATGCTTCAGATCCTCCTCAGTTTTGACACGCAAGGTTGTATCATCTGAATAGTTCAGGTTATTGATGAGTCTTCCTCCAATCCTTATGCCACACTCCTTCTCATAAAGTCCAGCCTCTTGAATGATCTATTCCACATAGAAATTGAAAAGGAATAGATAGAGTATGCATCCCTAATACACTCCATTCCTAATTTTGAACCATGCAGTGTTTCTTTGCTCAGTTCTGACAACTGCCTCCTGGTCCAAGTATAGGTTGCGCTAAAGTATAATCAAGTGTTCTGGGATTCTCTTTCTCAAGGTTCTTTTTATTTGAATATCTCAAAGAAAAATGTATTTAAAATTGGCTAAAAATATAGAATTTTATAATTATTTATATAATAGTTATAAACAATT